GAGAGAGTTTTACAGCCAGAAAGAGCGAACCCCTGCCCTAATCACTTCCCAGCCAGTATTCTCTCACTTCTACATTTATGTTTATCATTTCTACTTCAAGGGTTGAACCTTTGTAACTTTTGTGTCCTACCTAGTAATAAGAGTGACAGTATTTAAACTATTCCTTGGGGAAGGACTTGTTATATTTTGTATTCTGTTGTAATGGGATCATCCCATTCTTCTTGCTTGTCTATGGCAATGAAGTGTGAGTAGTTCATTTATACACTTCTATGAAAGGCGAATGCATGTGTAATATTGTTTAAGTTATGAAAATGTTGATGTTTTATTTATGTGTTAATGTTTATACATCCCTTAATTGATGGATGGTTATTGTTATAATATGCTCATGGTTATGAACACCAAGCAAAGTTTATCGCTATATACCATTCTATCTATAAGTTATTATGTACTTCATTCATGATTTAATGATACATGTAGTTGGGTTTTATGTAACAATTGAGAGATTGGTTATATACGGGTTAAATCTTGTCATAGCCAATGCTTTTGATTCAGTGCATAATCGGAACTCCATCTTCATTAAATCATCAACTTGCTGATCGGATAGCAAAAGTAAACATTTTGAATGGTTCACCTTTAGGTTTACTAGGGTTATCTGGTTGTTGCATGGTACCAAGACCATCCATCTAACCTAACTAGTTGTTGTGATATGTTTCAGTTACACATCAAACCTACCGGTTAACTTTCCTATGAAATGGAAGTTAATTGTTGTAAGGTGGCATTTTTATAAACTATCAATATAATGCATATCGGATCCCCGAACTGAAGTGTACCTTTTATTATTGTTATCAAGAGTTAATTTAAGTAAATTTTTTGAAAGTTCTAAGTTCACACCACAAGCTATTGTGAAGCACACTACACACAAGAAAATCTCACATTTTCCATTTTGAATTCCAACAGTTAGCTCCCTGTGGATTTGGCCTCAGACTTAATCGAGTAATACTATAATTTGACAACTTATACTTGGGTGTATGATTTAAATCAGGTCAATCAGTATATGTGTTTCTTGAAAGCGGTGTATCTTTACAACGATTAGTTGGATGATTTATGTGTGTGTGGAGGATAGATATATTCGGTGCGTGGAAGTTTTTTATTCAACATACATACATGAGATATATTTATTACAATTTGGTTTTGGAATTGGTTTTACTTACTCAATATTATGGATTCGTTGTTGATACGCTAAAACTGGAGATTGTATTGAATGTCCATGTTTACTTCAAAACTATAAGTGCTATTTTTTTAACTAAAATTCACCTGTTTTTATGATTTCCAAACCTTGTATGGGTTTGAGAAGGTTTTCCTATTAGGATTTATCACTAAACTATTCCTTTAACATTTTCTAGATTTCGAGTTTGGATAAGATAATGTCTTAGGTGAGCAACTATGGGGTAGCAACAAATCAGGATGCGGATCTAGCGTAGGAGAATAGAAACTTTTTTCATTAGTTTCTAGTTTTAGATTAATGAATTTTGTTGATTTAACAATGTTTATGAATATTCCTTTCCTTAGTTAGTTGGAAGATAATTACTTTGGTTTTGCATGTAAACTCAAGGATTCATTATGGGGTTGTTGCAAATTAGGATGGGGATCTGGCGTAGGAACAATAGAGAGTTATTTCATTGGGTTCTAGTTTTAGATTTCTGAATTTTGTTGATTGAACAATGTTTATGAAGATTCCTTTCCTTAGTTAGTTGGAAGATAATTACTTTGGTTTTTCATGTAAACTAAAGGACTCACTGATGTTTGATTTAGGATTTTTATTTACTTAGATAATGTTGGTGATTGTTGTTGATTTATTTTATGGTGTTATAGTTATGCTCTCATGGTTGATGGTTGTAGTTTAGTTCATGCCTATATTGTTAAAATTGGGGTGTGACATAACTGGTAGTGCACGAGGTCTGGTCTCAACATGTAGAACCTCTATCTCTTCTTCTCTCTCCTCTCTACTACAACAAAATATGTAGATTAGGCCTTGCTATGCTTCGTGGAACTCCTGTTCAAAGGCCTCACGAAGTTCTGCTTTTGATCTTGGGCAAAATCAAAACTGTCTTGTCCTTATAGATACGAGTAATTAATGGTTGAAATTTTAAATCATCTAACACTCCCTTCAAAAAAGGCTCACCGAATAAACCAAAAAATATCGATGGTAGATCAAGATCTAACCCTATCCATATAGCATATAGCATGTGTGCTCTTTGAACTGGAAGTCTGAAATATGGATTTTCGGTCATATGTTGTGGTTTGCTATAAGGTTTAACATCCTATATTATGGAATTAAAAACTTTTTGAAGAATTCAATGTCAACTAGTGTTCAAGATGAACTTTACCATACAACTCAATTGCCACAACATGAAGATTAGACATCTAATCAATTGTCTTCTCACTAAAGGCATCATTCTCTACCATAGGTAGATCAAGAATGGTAGCTATGAGATTTCCATAACACGTGAACTTTAACCCTTGATTATATGTGTCAAAGTGATCACCACGGGGATTTGAATCACAAATATGAGTGTAAACTCTCTCACTAATCTATCATTCGAAGGCACTGGGGGCTCGAATGGTTGTTAACTCCTCGGTTGGTGAAGTTTGTAGGAATAGATGAACTTACCAAATTTTTATGAATGCTCTCTATTAAAAAAAAATGATCTTTAAAATAGAGATTATGGTTTGATATACTCTAAGCATGGTTAAACAAGTATCTAATAATATCAAACTAGCAACTTCAAAAAGTTAGTTATCTGAAACTATCAAACTGCATAAAAAACACACAGTTGGCTAATAGTTTAACAACTTTAAAAATTGAAATACAAAATGGATTAGGAGATAAATTCGAAGAGGATAGATGTGGTGTGGCAGAGACGTGAGTGGGAAATGCGGTTATAAATTGTTATCCATATCAAAAAATTAATGAACCAATAAATAGACCCCCACATAGGATTATTGAGAAGAAGAAAAATTCTAAATTCTAGAAAATTATGATGTGTTGAATGGAAGCTTGGGAGAATTTGTAGATGAAAAATGTTATTTGAATCTCATTTATTGAACTAATTTACATTGAATTGATAATGAGGCTAAACTAATAATGGGGCCCATTCTCAATCTATTGGTAGATAGTGATTAAGTCAGCAAATAAGATCAATAAATTAGGTTCGAGGAGCATTATTCTTTGTAGATACATTGATCGTGTTTATATGTTGTTTATAGTGTTTAGTATATGCTCTTTGTTGAATTGTGTTACCCAAGTGCCTAATTCTTACATATATCAGTTGATAAGCATTAAAGTTTGGGGGGAGACCATAAATTGGGCCCATACTTTAGAACTCTTATCATGGTCAGGTTAAAAGTCGGGCTTGAATTGAGTGTCTACTTCTCAACCCACGCAATGCACCCTATATGAAAGCTCAATAAAAACAAGAGTAATTTGGAAGTCGGGACAAAAAAATTAGACTTATTTGAGCTAAACTACATTAAAAAAACTTATTTGGCCCTAGGTGTATGTTTTTGAAAAAAATAATAAAAGGGTATTTATTAATCCATTATTGTCTCTCTCTATTTCTCTCTCTCCATTACTCTCTCACTCTTTCTTTCCTATTTTCTCTCTATCTATTTGTCTCACTCTCTTTCTCTCATATTGATAATTATTTTTTTTAAATATATAAAGATTTGATTTAATTTTTTTTATCTCTCTCTACCCCTATTTTTTCTTTCTCTAACCCTTCTCCCCTTATTTTCTTATTTTCTCTCTTTTTTCTCTCTTTATATCAACGTTACAACAACATAATTATATTTATCAGTTACACCAATTAGTTACAATTACTCTATAACACACTAAACAATTACTCGTGTGTTATAATAAATCAAATAATTACACTAAACGATTATATGAAATTACAACACGAACTCAATTTGTCATTCAGTTATTTACATAAATCAAACAGTTACACTAAACAATTATACAAAATTACAATACCAACTCAATTATATGGTTACACCAATTATATGTACCAAATTAGGTTTATCATTACATAAAAAAGTTTACCATTATACTAAATTTGGTATATATAATTAGTGTAATAATGTCGCGATATTAAATAGTGCAACTATTTAGTTTATGTAAACAATTGAATGACAAATTGGATTGGTGTTATAAATTTGTGTAATTGTTTGATGTAACTGTTTGATTTATTAGAACGAATGAGAAACTGTTTGGTGTATTCTAAGATAATTATAACTTATTTGTGTAATTGATTTGTATAATTGTATTGTTGTCGTGTTGATATAAAAATAGAGGGAGAGAAAATAAGGGGAGAGAGAAACGGTTAGAGAAAATAGGGGGAGAGATAGAAAATAGGGGAGAGAGATGAAAAAATAAATCAAATCTTTACATATTTAAAAAGAAAATAAATTATCAATGATAAATATAGAGAGAAAATAGGGGAGAGATGGGGAAAGTAATGAAAAAAAGAGAGATTGAGAGAAAATAGGGGAGAGATAGTGAGAGAGTTTAATGAAATCTTTACATATTTCATTAGATATATAACTGTCGATCAAGAATGTATAATTTAAGGGAGGGTATTTAGGTAAACAATTTTGATTTCATTTGAATTTTGTACCCCAATAAAATATGTTTCATTAAAATTGAACTTAATAAAGTAAACAATTGATTCATACATTTTTCCTCATATAAGTCTAAAAAATTATACCCAAAGCCAAAAAACCCTAAATACAACCCCCGAAATTCAAATGAATAGGAAAATTTGTCATACATCAGATGACACTTTAATCTCCTTTGCCCATTTTTTAGGCTTGCGCGCTACAGCGCCAGAAGGTTTAAGTCAAGTTTTTTGGGCCACTTTGATGGGGCATATATTTTGGTTCAGTAATGCTCTTTTGCACAAGAAATTTAACTGATTAGCTTCAGTTTCAGATAAATATAGCTAAATATTCTGCTTAAATCTCTTTTGAATCTTTCTCAGGTTGCAAGTAATCGTCGCAAAAGATGGTCTCATTGCAGCATCTTCAGCCCAGGAAAGTTTTATGAGCTGAATGAGCTCTTCGAATTGGTCTTCATGTTCAGGAATTTTCGGCCTTAAATTTCCCTCTCCAACTTGCAAGGCAATCTGGCCATGAACAAGTAAAAAAATTAATGCCAAAAACAAACAATTGAATAGGATTATTTGATCTATTGACTATTCTTCATGAACAAGTCGATCTAGTATTATATGTAAAGAAGTGGGAATGTCTTTTGTACCCTGGACGGACCAAAGTCTGTCTCAATGTATGGATATTCGCCGGTTATGAGCTCGTTAAGTATGATCCCGAAACTGTAGATATCACATCTGTGGTCGTAAGGCTCGCACCGGATCACTTCTGGGGCCATGTAAACATATGTCCCTGGGAATGAAGGCCAGTTTTATTGTGTTGTAGTGTAATTAACTCAAATAATCACAAGCCAACAAACAGAAATGAAGAATAGGAAGCAAAGAAAAAATATTCAAGTTTAGTAGTCCTTGCCTGTTTCACCGGTGAGTGCCTTTTCTCCTTCAGATAAGAACCGAGCATGACCAAAATCTGCAACTCTCACACGCAAGGCATCATCCAAAAAAATGTTGCTTGGTTTCAGGTCACGATGAATAACCTTGGGCTTGTGGTCATGAAGGTACTGCATCGCTTGGGCGATCTCTAATGCCTTGGCCAACCTCTCTTCCAATTGCGGAAGGGGAACAATCCTCTCTCTCTGTCTTCTCCCTGGCCCGTGCAGCCACTCCTTCAAAGTCATACTCAAGAACTCAGTTACAATCCAGCCATGGTCAGGGGGATTAAGACAGGCTCCCATTAGCTGGAGCACAAAACAGTGGCGCTGTTTTGATAATGTTTCAACCTCTTGAGCAAAGAAGTTGACTCCATTGTCGTTTGAATTGAAGAAATCAGGGTATATGCATTTCACTGCAACATCAAGTCCTCTCCATGTTCCTTTATATACATCTGCAGTGCTGCCTTGAGCTACTTTTTCATGCAGTTCAATCTGTTGCAGTCCCAAAGTACAGGTATGATCATGATTGTACCACAATATAATTGTCAGTAATGCATGCCCAATCTATGTGCGTGGGTATATAAGTATTCAGTGCCATTGTTTCCAACAACAAAATATATGCAGGATGAAATAATTAAATATTTTTTTATTTTATTTTCCTGCCATGAACATAGTCTTAATTTGAGCACCATCTGCATAAGTTCATAGTTATAGTTAAGGGGCCACATTCCGTACATTTGAGAGAAAATTACACTTTCACCCTTCAAATGTGCATCCCCAATTTCACTTTGGCACCTCAACAAGCAAATTTCTCCTTGCCCTCTAAACTATTTGAATTCGTTTCATGATGCCCCAAAACAAATCATCCAATATGTTTTGGACCGAAAATTTTCAAATGCATAGTAAAATATGCAGTCTGTATGTCCATAGTTGGTGTAACGTAAGACTAATAACATTGGTTGAAGGTGAAATGTGAGAAATATATATACATATATAGATGATAGTTGAGTTAGCAATGTGAAATCAATAACCATATATAACTGGATGTATATTATGAGAAACATGACAGTTGAAAAGGCAATGCGTAGAGCGTTAAAGCGTAATTTTTCCTTAACTTAAATAAGTGACTAGTCCTACCTCATGTGGCTCGATGTGCCATCCATTCATCTTGGCTTGATCAATGAGGGGTGCAAGATCTGAACGGTGTTTCATCAAAGGAGGCATCGGAGGACTGGTGGTACTAGAGGAGAGAAGGCATTCTTGTTGATTCTCTTTGATGTTAATTAAGAGGTCCAAGAATCCATTGTCTTGTGCCATCTGAAGACAATACCTAAGATAATCTTGTGTTCTTTCCAATTTCAGCCTGTACAAGGCCCTCAGTTCCTTCTGCTTTTGAAGTTCTTTTTCTAATTCTGCCACCTTAATAAAAAAAATGCACAATTTGCAACCGCATCATATGTTGAGTTTCCGTGGATGTTGAGTATTTCCACAATATGCATTGATTCATGACAGCGCATATAGTTCATAGGCTTTTTATGAGGTTATGGCATCTCTAGGTTCATCTAAATTGTGACCAATTTTATATACACTCTAAGGTCTACTCAATCGACGTTTGCAAAATTCTATGAAAAATAAATGGTCAATATTATGATTCAACCAAAATAGGTGTAATCATGCAGGGTTCCAAATGTTATGTACCGTTTGATAAAAAAAAATTTAAAAGAGAATTTTTTAGATAAAAAAACCCTTTTTCAAAAACAAGTAAAAATAAAATGGAAAGGCAAACTACAAAATGACTTCTACATAAAAACAAAAATAAGATATAAAATACTCCCAAAAAAAAAAAAAAACAACTATAAAAGGGTACCTTGGAAAAAAAATGTTACAAAATAAATGCTACCTGAAATTGTACCTAAAAAATAGATAAACATAAAATACTTGAGAAAATTATACCTTTGACTTCCCACTGTAAGCATGCTATACATTGAAAGAGACCAAGCCATAGGTGCCTTACCTGCTGCTCAAGGTTTTGAGGCTGTTCGTGTTGTGGAACTATGGACCCCATAACCATGCAGTCATTAAGTCCTTTACACCAGCTGCAGGACTTTGTGGTGGTGGTCCTCCCTTGCTTAGCCGGGCAAAGGCTGGTCGTCGTGGATTGCCGAGGACTGAATGGAGTAGCCTTCTTCTGTTGGATGGCGCCACTGACGTTCATGATGTACTTCTGCGTCCTTATAAATTTTCAACGATGTAAGCTCGTGGTAGGTGTAGAAGGGGAAAGAAACTTAGTTCCATGGAGCTTAAATTGCTTACTAGGTCTTGTTGTGCAGTGCTGGCATAGGACAGATTTGGCGGACCTTCTGATGCATTGAGCTTTATTGCTAATGTATGAAACGGCCTCAAATTTGGAACATAGGGAAGTACGCTACGTTTCTTAAAAAATAGATTTTTTTTTAATTTTAAATGAAGCGACATTATGCCCTTATTTTGTTGGATTCTGTGTCCATTTCAGAATATTTTAAAATTGGAATGACAAATTTGCTTTCTTTCTTCCGCCCTTTATGTATTCATTAATGCTATCAAAACATAATTAAATAATATAATTTGGGGATATAATGAGTTGTCATCACCAAAATGATATTGAAATGTATTTAACGATGGGTCTCATTGTAATATTAATAAATTCATTATCATATCATTGGTGACAACTCATTATTTTCTCTAATTATATCTATAAATTATGTCTAAATAGCATTGCTTACTTGCTCCCTTATTCCCTTGAAATAGAGCTTTTGGGTCAACTCTATTTTTAAACTAATAGGTTTCGCACACGATTACTTGTGTACATAGTTTTAAAAGTGAAAGAGTAATATTATTGCGATATAAAAAATTAATTTAATTTGTTGACAAAGAGTAATATTATTGGCATATAAAAAATTAATCTAATTTGTTGACATAATGATGAAACAAATAATGTAATCTCAATTAAAAAATTCAAGAGGTATAGTCACAAAAATACTATTAGACTACATCACTGTCACAATATTATGTCAATAAATTAGATAAAATTTTTAAATCTCAATAACATCACTTGAAATGAAGTAGAGAGGAGGAAGAGAGACATGAAAGCCAAAAGTGACCAATAGATATTCATTATGAGGATTGTTGAACTCAATTAAATAAGAGGTATGAGTGGCTAAGACATTATGGGTAGTCTAGATGGGGTTGATGGTGTTAACGCACTTTTACAAAAGATGGATTGGGATTACGTTAGGTTGTTAAGACGATGCAATAATATATAGGGCTTTGAAAGTTAAGACAATATAATTATAGTGGTTTACCAGTTCGAGAGCTCGGCTAGTCTACTCTGGAATGGAGGTTCTTGCTCCTTTTGTTTCATTCACGGTAATTACAAGGTTGTTATGACTTCTTTGTGCCACTAGGGTTCCCCCCCCCCCTGTTAGAGAGGTGTTATATTGCATTTATAGGGTCATTCTCTGCTAAGTGTGATCCTGACCGAGATTCTTGCCCTTACTTCGTAGGGTTCTCCCTAATTTTAGGAGAAGATTTTAGTTGGGTGAGATTAGATGCCTTGATTATAGTTTCCTAACGCTTTAGGAACCTCTCGTGATTATCCATCTGTTGCCTTAGTTGTCATTGTCATTGCTTATCTCGAGGAGACCTCCAGCTCTACTCTTTCGAGTTCTGCTTGCCTAATCCGACCTCCTGGATTGATCTGACCTCCTCAGCTAGTACTTTGGGATTTATTTTGAGGTATCATCAGTTGCAGCCTCCATCTCATTATTCATGGGAGGGACCCCCATGGGGGGATCTGCGTTTTCGGGTTGTCTACTATTTGCGACTTCCTATTGATCTTGCATCCATAAAGGATTGGTCTGACTTCAGCTCATGTTTCGTGTTGATACCAACAGTCACTGAAAAATTAGCTTTATTTGTAACAGGAACAGTCGTTCCCACAGACGGTACCAAACTGATGGTGTTAACGCACTTTTACAAAAGATGGGCTAGGATTACGTTAGGTTGCTAAGACGATGCAATAATATTCAGGGTTTTGGAAGTTAAGACAACAGAATTATAGTGGTTCACCAGTTCGGGAGCTCGGCTAGTCCACTTTAGAATAGAGGTTCTTGCTCCTCTTGTTTCATTCACGGTGATTACAAGGTTGCTATGGCTTCTTTGTGCCACTAGGGTCCCCCCCCCCTGTTAGGAGGTGTTACATTGCATTTATAGGGTAATTCCCCTGCCAAGTGGGAACCTGGCCGAGATTCTTACCCTTATTTCGTGGGGTTCTCCCTAATTTTAGGAGAAGATCTTGGTTGGGTGAGATTAGGTGTCTTGATTATAGCTTCCTAACGCTTTAGGAACCTCTCGTGATTATCTAGTTGTTGCCTTGGTTGTCATTGTCATTGCTTATTTCGAGGGGACCTCCAGCTCTACTCTTTCGAGTTCTGCTTGCCTATCCGACCTCTTGGGCTAATCTAACCTCCTAAGCTGGCACTTTGGGATTTATTTTAAGGTATCATCAGGGCCAAAATCAAGGTATTATAGATATTTTAAAGTGAAATTTGGAGGTCGATCCTCCTATATGAATTTATTTGGAGATAAATCCGTGAAAGAAACTTATTTGGTTTTAAGTACGTTTTTTTTATCAATTTTACTATTGTAACCCTTCCTTGTAGGAATGTTATAAACGAAATTTATGCACACAATAACTAGTCATATATATTTCCTTCATAATCGCCTTCAAATCCAACTACAATCTTCCAAGTAATAATGTTTCTTTATCCAAAAAATAAAAATTCGACAGTTACCAAAAATCGTTCATATTCAAATTTCAAACTCATTACATTCCATCAAATACAAGTTCAATTTATTATTTCGGTTTACTTTGGACTCCATCGATAAAATATTAATACTGAATATTAATATTTAAAAAATAACAATAGTAACATACTCAACAAAGACATCAATATGGTCACTAAAAAAAGAGTAACATGCTCACAAAAAAATAGTAATATGATAAAAAAGTAATAACAATAAAAGATTTGATTATGTCAAAGTGGACATTAACCTTATAACTAAAATTCAAGAGAACTCATACATTAATACTAAATTAAAGTGGTATAAATTTCGATTTTGTTGATTTTTTTGTTGAACAAGACAATCGAGTATTCATTGATTGTGTTACTATGGAAAAAGTTCATGTTACTGTACATGAACCGAAAATGAAGTTCAGAATTTCGATGTCTTGATGTTCAAAATTGGTGTTGAGCGTTGTAATTCAACTGTCGATTGTGTGTTACTCTTTATCATTTTGTAAAATTTTAATTTGTGAATTTTATTTTCAGTAAAATCTATGGCTCCCCTAAAATCGGGGGGTCTTTTTTACACCGTTGACCACCCGTCAATCCGCGGAATTGCCCGTAATTTGTTGTATAACCCGACATCACGTTAACAGTATCCTTTTACCTGGGATTATACTCATACGTGTATCTCGTGTTCTTTTAATAATTTAATCCAACCGAGATTCAATATACCCCAATATATATATTATTTAATGTCCATTTCTATCATTAGAACCAAGGAAACCAAAGTCCAATTGTATAGCAAAACAATTTTAAAATTTCTGATTTTTTAAAAGTGTACCGGTACGGTTTGCCTACTAGACCTCATCGTACCGGTACACATACCGGTTCGTTTTGCCAGTTCTTTCTTATTTCACCTGTTTTCGATTTTCAATCATTTCCAATCCATCTCATTCTCACCCAAAACACATATAATGGAGTTTTTGACACAAAACCTCATTTGTACAAGTTCATTACATTTAATTTACATATATTTACAAATCAAAACATAGTTTTAACAAGGGTTTACAAAACAGTCAAGATTAAAGGCCACATGTCGGCCCCTCTTCACCCTTGAGGCCCCGAATGAGAGCTGTCCACCTGTGTGTATCCCGCACCTGAAATATTTTTCCGTATAGGGTGAGCCAACGCCTAGTAGAATATTTTCTACAGAGGTTACTCTCTTCCTAGATGCGTATGCAATGTTTATGTACAACACTTAACCATTATTTCCCATTCCAAGCAAGAATATGCATTTCAATGATGAAATTTTACTATGTCATGCCATGAAATGAGATGAGACTCACTTACGCATATCAACACAAGCCCTTCTCGGCTCCTCAACACATGCTAATATCCAAGTGAATGAATCCATACCATGCGATGAAACGAGATGAGACTTACTCATGCACCACAACCCAAGTCATACCTGACTCCTCCACACAATGCAATGCCAAAAGTGTATTAAACCGTCATTTATGTTCACATCAAATGACATTCACAATTCCAGGGTCTTTCTTGGGGTGGGTATTCATGGACTTACACCAACAGCACCCAGTCGAAACGGAATTCATGGACTTCAACCAATGGTTTTGCATACACTAACACACTTTATGGACTCTTATACCAACGAAGTACGAATCTAATCATCGGATCTCTCACCCGAGGGATATTCTAGCCCTTCTTGCTAACCCCGACCCAATTTGCCATACAACTGTGCGACTTAGTTGAATCATCGATCCAACTTTTTTCAAGTCCACTCGTCATCCACCAATGGGGTGACGACATCAACTATGCACACACACCCACATGATGCGAGGTCTCCGTGCAAATGCAATTTAATAAATCATTGCATAACAATGTCATGTCGCATACGTAATGAATGCCATATGGACAACCCAAACCACATATTTCAACATATGTCATGAAAATTTATATCCTAAGCATATAATTATCAAAATCCATCACAATTGACAAACTACCACAATAGCCATGTCAATAACACACTTAAATCACAAGGCACAATATAAACACATAGCATGCCCACATAAACCAAATTTTCAAGAGTTTACATAAATACTTTCACATATCAAAGTCATGCTAGAAATTGGTCTAGGCCATTTTCTATATTAATTTCCTTATTTCCATTACTATAGGCAAGTCATATATTATTCTATACTTCTAACCATTTCATACGGATGCCTAGGTTAGAAATCAATCAAAGTAGGAGGGAACCCTACCTCTTGAAGCGTAAAAGAACACGTTGGGAAGCTCTATGACTCCAACCCGAGCTCTAATCCAAGCTTTCCCAAAATTTTGTTTTTCAACCTTCGGTGAAAATTCTCATTTT